CGTCACTACTACTACATATATGGTGAACACCTACGAGGGACTATCACGTCACTACTACTACATATATGGTGAACACCTACGAGGGACTATCTCGTCACTACTACTACATGTATGGTGAACACCTACGAGGGACTATCACGTCACTACTACTACATATATGGTGAACACCTACGAGGGACTATCACGTCACTACTACTACATGTATGGTGAACACCTATGTGGGACTACACGTCACTACAACTACATGTATGGTGAACACCTATGTTGGACTATCACGTCACTACTACTACATATATGGTGAACACCTACGAGGGACTATCTCGTCACTACAACTACATATATGGTAAACACCTATGTGGGACTATCACGTCACTACAACTACATGTATGGTAAACACCTCCGAGGGACTATCTCATCATTATAACTACATTTACGCGGGACTATCTGGTCTTTACAGCTTCATGTATTGGTTAAATACGTGGGGCATGTATTTCTGCTATACAGTTATTGTACAGTCATGTATGTGCTACCACGTACAGGTATCGGTGACGTCAGAGCTCTAGATTATTTGGGGTAATGAAACTGTTTGAATACAAAGTATGACGACACAGTAAAGTTATTTAAGTTCAACGTTCTACGTCACAATGCAAAATACTTTATTTTAGAAGGGTTCCGTGCCTTATGTTTGATGGTCAGTGAGCTGTACATAAACGTCTCAATATCAGATACGAAGATTTTGAGTTTTGGTGTATGACGTCATAGTTCCAATTACTGCGATGTGCAATTGCTTTTAGTACATCTGTCGTATGACGCTGATGTCCGTAAATGGTGGAACCAATTTGAAATGCGAAGTAATCTGAACGCGACAGCATGATGGCTCACCGGGTCACATTGATAATTGACTCGCCCTGAAACTCAACGGGTCACCTTGATAACTGAATCGCCCTGAAACTCAACGGGTCACATTGATACTGACTCGCCCTAAAACTCAACGGGTCATATTGATAACTGACTCGCCCTGACACCCAACGTGTCACATTGATAACTAACTCGCCCTGACACTCAACGGGTCACATTGATAACTGACTCGCCCTGAAACTCAACGGGTTACATTGATAACTGACTCGCCCTGAAACTCAACGGGCCACATTGATAACTGACTCGCCCTGAAACTCAACGGTTCACATTGATACTGACTCGCCCTAAAACTCAACTGGTCATATTGATAACTGACTCGCCCTGACTCCCAACGTGTCACATTGATAACTAACTCGCCCTGAAACTCAACGGGTCACCTTGATAACTGAATCGTCCTGAAATTCAGCGGGTCACATTGATAACTGACTCGCCCTGAAACCCAACGGGTCACATTGATAACCGCCTCACCATGAAACCCAACGGGTCACATTGACAACATACCTATCAGGATAGCTCACCGGGCTACATTGATAACTGACTCGCCCTGAAACTCAACGGGTCACATTGATAACATGATAGTTCACCGGTTTACACTGATAACTGACTCGCCCTGAAACTCAACGGGTCACATTGATAACTGACGCGCCCTGAAACTCAACGGGCCACATTGATAACTGACTCACAATGAAACCCAACGGGTCACATTGAGAACATACCTATCATGATACTACATTCATAATTGATTCGCCCTGAAACTCAACGTGTCACATCGATAACTGACTCACCATGAAACCCAACGGCTCACATTGACATCATACCTATCGTGATAGCTCACCGGTTTACATTTACAACTGACACGCCCTGAAACTCACCGGGTCACATTGATAACTGACGCGCCCTGAAACTCAACGGGTCCCATTGATAACTGACTCGCCCTGAAATTCAACGGGTCACATTGATAACTGACTCACCATGAAACCCAACGGATCACATTGACAACATACCTATCATGATAGCTCACCGGTTTACATTGATAAATGACTCGCCCTGAAACTCAACGGGTCACATTGATAACATGATAGTTCACCGGTTTACACTGATAACTGACTCGCCCTGAAACTCAACGGGTCTCATTGATAACTGACTCACCATGAAACCCAACGGGTCACATTGACAATATACCTATCATGATAGCTCACCGGGCTACATTGATAATTGACTCGCCCTGAAACTCAACGTGTCACATTGATAACTGACTCACCATGAAACCCAACGGGTCACATTGACATCGTACCTATCATGATAGCTCACCGGTTTACATTGATAACTGACACGCCCTGAAACTCAACGGGTCACATTGATAACTGACTCGCCCTGAAACCCAGCGGGTCACATTGACAACATACCTATCATGATAGCTCACCGGGCTACATTGATAACTGACACACCATGAAACCCAACGGGTCACATTGATAACATGATAGTTCACCGGGCTACACTGATAACTGACTCGCCCTGAAACTCAACGGGTCACATTGATAACTGACTCGCCCTGAAACTCAACAGGTCACATTGATAACTGACGCGCCCCGAATCTCAACGGGTCACATTGACAACCTACCCATCATGATAGCTCACCGGGCTACATTGATAACAAACCTACCATGATGGCCACCCGGGTCACATTGACAACTGAATCACGATGAGAGCACCACGGGTCACATTGACACATGAATCACGATGAGAGCAGCACGGGTCACATTGACAACTGAATCACGATGAGAGCACCACGGGTCCCATTGACAATTGAATCACGATGAGAGCCCACTCAGACCCACCATTAGAGCCCAACGACTCACATAGACAACTGACCCACCATGAGAGCCGAACATGTCATGCTGACAACTGACTCACCACGAGAGCCCAACGAGTCACATTGACAACCGATTCACCATGAGAGCCAGTTCCTAGTATGATTGCCTGTCTTGGTGCTTTGATGATTTTATCAATAGCATATCAAAACGTTGATTGTCCCGTAATGTTGTTCATTTAGTAAACTGTTCTATACCGTTCCCAACTGACTTCAGCACGGTATAAATGTATGTTACACAAATATTATATTAGCATATCTCTTTCCAAATAGTCCAAGATGAAGGCTGGGGTTCGTGTCGCCTTTGATCATTGTTGACCCCCAGCATTGGCCGACAACACGTTATAATATACCGCACTGAAGTAAACCTAAGACTACTTTACGTTATCTGCGGACACGTTTAGATTAATTTAAGAACAATCTTATTGTGGGACACAAAGATTAAAACAAAGGGTTACTTGTACGACTAACAGGTGTGTTTGTTACAGACCGTGTAATGTAATTCTTATATATCTGGTCATATATCAGTGTGTGTTGTGTGAGCCAAAGAACGCTAGTTGTTTACGGTAGTATGGACGTGACCTCGGGAGTAAGTTTAAAAATGGAAGGGGAAGAGATAGCCAGACTTCTAATATCGGTGTTGTCGTTTCCAAGAACATATAAAACGGAATTGACAAGGCGACATGTGTAGTAAGAGGACCATGCCAGACCTCCGCAGAAAGAGGCAAACGAGGCAAAAGTATATCACTAGATTCCGTCAATAACTTCACATAGTTTGAAAGAAAAACAAATTTTCGTAAGGGTTTTCGAAATAAAACAACCCATAATTCATATTCGGGTACAATTACAATGCCGATACCATATCACCGCTAAGTCAATACAGTATCTAGTTCCGTCAAGGTGAGTGTGTTGTGTCAGATATAACAGTGAAAGTTACGTTTTACCAGATTTGTCGTTGCTCAACTGGAAACAGTGTGTAATGGCACATAGCAGCATACAGTTATAGCAGGACAGTGATGGTTGTTTACCTATATCCACTTCACATATTTACGATTTGATGATAAGAATAACAAAGACAAGAATTAGTTGTTTTTTAAATTTTAGTTTTTGTCATTTGTAATGAAGAACTGCCATAGAAATATACATAATGACATTGTATCGTCTGAAATACATTAATAACATCTGTCATCGGATAAATATATATACATTCTTAACATCATACCCTTTCTCGTGATCAGTCCATCCAAATTCCCGTAGTTTCGTATCTAAGTCACGTCACCAGGACAAAGACACGAGTAAATATATATTACTTTAAAAAAGGCGTAGCTTTCAAACTTTCACGCTCGCTCTCACCCCAACGTCTGCCTCTGTTCCAGTGGTTCTAATCACAAGTTAAGATGGGGATGATGTTTGGCAAAAAGATGTGTGGAGATTATCCAAGGGTTATCGCTCGGATTATGTTAATCCCTTACAAGGGATGCTACGTTTATCAGACGGCGATCTGTGGAGGGACATTGTTCGCCAGGCGACACGGACCCGTACGGAAACATTGCTATCTGAAGTCTACGTTTAACTGGAAGATTGGCAGCCATTGCGTATTCTTTAACACGACGGATAGTGAATTAGACCTTCGAAAGTCTCCATGGACTTCTTTTAAAGTACATGTGTAACAGTGATCTGTCTTGCATTTTACTGTAATTTGTAACGTATTACTACGTTAGACATAAAATGAGAACAAGAATGGAAGACGATTTCCCAACCCTATGGTACAGTTCCGGGGGGGGGGGGGGGGGGGGGGGCTATTACGTTACAAAAATATCATACACAGCGTTGTCTATTTCATTCAATACACGCGATAGTAACGTGATAACGCATCCTTCATTACTAATATAATCGGGTTACGATGAAGTCATGACATTAGCGAGGTAGTCTATATATTGTAGTTGAACTTTTTTCTAAATTTCTAATGATTACAAAACACTTGTAGACTGGAACGACTAGATTTAGTATCGATATGACGTCAGCAAATGATAACGTCAAGATAAATTCACATTTCTGTCACAGATATGTCATTTGTATATATAGTCGCTATAACAACACATAGCGACTTTTCATAAAAGCATCTTCTCAGAAAACGTTGGTCGATGGAAAATGGATGGATTGATACAGGGTAACATTTGAGAACACGTGAGTTCGTACAATTGGCTATCTCGCCCTAACATTCACACACGCGCTCTGTCAGCTCAAACATGTATACTAATAACATCACAACCAATAATCACATTCTTTCTTACAGTACTTTCATTTCAATAAATAAGATTTGTCACATATACACATTTTCGCTCTTGAGTTCCGGAGCAGGTGTCACCGACATCCGCACCCCTCTACTACCATATCCTGGTAGCTCTTCAGTATCACTTTTTCATACTCGTCCACATAGAGAAGTGAAATAGGACTCAGTTCTGTAGGTACACAGCACGGTTTAGGGACGGACTTGGAGTCTATCGAGTTCACCAAGTCCTGCACTATTGCATGATTTGTAGCGTTCATGTGCTCCGAAAACGGAAACTCACATTCGCCTTGACAATAATATGCCTGATAGCCTGGAGGCGCAAAAATCCAGTCTGTCCAACCTACAGCTGTAAAGTCTACATACAACGGTTTCCTCCTACAGTATTTCTTATGTCGCCTCCTCTTCCGGTTGCGTGGTCTCCTCCGTTTAGACTTCCTACTACTACTTCTTTTTGTCCGCGATTTACCGCGATTGTCATCAGTATAAGTAACTAAAAGAGGTCTTTGTAAATGCCATTCGTCCTCAGAATTGGTAGTAGCTCGCCGTAAACGTACATGTTGTATCGGCTGTTTAGACGGATGGTTGTTATAAGGTAAAATCCTGACCTCCAATCCATGGTTCGAGTCCGGCGAATTTTTCCATTTTAACACAGCAGGCTGTACATCAAAAGACGCCCAAGAAGCGTTCTTACGACTACTCACATGTTTCACATCCAACAGTCTCGTTATGGAATCCTGACCTTTTTTAATTGGTCTCATCACTTGAAGAACCTCCACTCGTAGGCGCCCCTTCTTTATACTATTTTCAACAGCACTATGATCCTTGTCAAAAAACACGCGGAACTCCGCGGCAGTCAACACTTCCTCCACGGGAATGTTTGAAACATTGAACCACACTCGTACACAGTTCTCCTTCCCACAACCCGTCATCTGCACCGGATGTTCTTCGGCATCTGTAACACACAAAACAAACACCGGTCAAACACGTATTACATATATAACAACTACAGTGTACTTTAAAACTGAAATAAATCTACTTCTGCAATGTGACAATTGCACTTTGCACTCTTTCTTTTAATCACAAAGACGATTCAATTACATGAAACCTTTTGAAAACCACCAAATTTGAAAAAAAATAGCAGCGTATATTTACAAAATAATGTCCGATCCTGTTCTTTCTGTGTTATTTCAAAACATCGACAGAAACTCTTTCATTTCACTTCTATATCAGATTACTTCAACATTTGAACTTTTATTGTGAGTTCTTGAATTCATATTTTTAATTCTCGTGATATAATTTACGTTTAAAGTACATGTTTAGTAATACGAGCGGTAAGATGTTGTCTAAGCCGCGTCACCGTCTGGATACATACCTTTATGATAAAAACTCCTCACGGTATTGGCCGTGCCAACACCTTTCCCTCGAATGTTAAAGTTGGGCGACAGAACATCGGGATCCCTTGTGTGAGTCTTGTACAAGTCAATCATATACTGAGGTATTTTAATATCCTTTTTTGGTCTGGGACGAGCATTAAGGCTGAACAAATTCAATAGACTCGATTCAAACGCTTCAAGTATTTCCTTCTTTTGTTGAGAGTCAACGTTGTCGAGGAACTTGTTGTCAAAGAGATTATTTTGTTGATCCGCGGGCTGTTGTACGGTTACTGCAACACTGAGAGCTAGCAACAGAAGTGTCCTTACTCCGCCAATCATGATGATAATACCTGTAAATACACAAAGAAATGACAGAGTTAGCACACCGGTAGGTACGGCCCTGGGGGCAGTGGATTGGAGACGAGGGTATAATTGTTCTCGGTTAAAGCCCAGTGGTGACAACAGGAGCATTGCCTAGGCTCTCTGTAAGGGGTTAACATCAAAAACCACAAAACCATCACCTAGACACGCGGCATTTTAAACCGGCTCTAATCGTGTACCTCCACGCGTTCAGGGGACTGGTGATGGCGTATTAACACGCTAAGTCGGAAACTCAAGACAAGCGAGGGACGGCCGGGCGTGGGGTTCGGGAGGGTAAATATTGCTTAAACGATTCTGAATTAAAAGTGTAGCAGTCTCTTCGACGATCTGATAACAGGTTTTAAAGAACTCGTGTTGATCGAAATGAAACGTCTATTAATTAAAGCGCGGAGAATATATATTACCTTAACTTAACAAATGTACGAGGTTGAGGAGTCACGAATGTTGCCTGACGTAGCGGTGAGGTGTCCCGATAGCTCTGAGAGACTAATCGTTGACTGCTCTGTATATATTCGCTAATTAATGGAATGTGTTTCAATATTCTGCGCATTGATAGCTGTAACATGCTTTATGCATATTGTTATATGTGATTTATGACGTCACGATCCGCCTCGGTTCCTATGATCGTGCCAATAAAAACTCTTTTGTTTTAGAATTATTCGTTTACTGGGTAATAGACGACAAATCGTACGTTGATTACCCCCTCCCCGAAGCAATGAGCCAATAGCTGCTGGTCGGATGTCCCAAACTCTCGGTCAGTAGAGTGCTTTGATTTATGTTGGCGCTCCTTTCTGTATGACGCTTGATGAAATCTCATAAAAAGTTTATTAAATCATATTACTGAAAATGGCAACAAAAAATAAAACCTCGCAGCCATATGGTAGTGTCTGGCACACGCGTGTGCGGGACCAGCGCCCGATATAGATACACAAACACCTACAGCCTCACTCGGGGTCAGCGAGCCAAATGAACCCTTTTGCTAGTTGTTGTACGAAACATATGACTCGGGGTTAACGAATCAAGTGACCCCTTCTCCTGCGTCATTATCACGTCTCCTTCGGGAACTCAGTAAATATCGAAAGTTACACAACATTACCAGTCATGTCTGAAGTACTGCTACTAATCTTAATTTGCAATGCTAACAAACATCAGAAGCTATTTCATTTTATATCCAGAATCGTATAATATATGTGTAACGAATTCGAAAACTCGTCTTAAGCAGAATTTACAATCAGAATCTGCGCCTCAAGCAGAATTTATAATCTAGATATATGAAAGAAGTAGTTTTAAAAGTATGAACAGTAACCGTTTGAAAGCTCGTACATTCGTGATTTTTTTCCGCCGACAAACTACACTGCCTACAACAGCATGCCACAATACCGCGAGCCACATATGCTTTGCTAATGAGGGACTCCACCGAAACAGAAATCAGAACGAGAGATAAAATTCCCGACGACTAGATGGTCCGATAGGGCGACCGTCCGTGGTTCCCGACAGCTAGCACTATGGGAACGGCGAACCGGGTACCACCGAACTTACACTGGCTAGGCTACTTTTGAGAACACAAAATGGGGAGTGTTACATCTACATTTTGGAGCGTTGTTTGGAATAGAAGTTTAAAACGTACTATCATAATTATCACAGTCATATCGGAATCAAAATAAATCCCTAAAGAATTATTAAATACTTGCAAAAACCTCTGACTATGCCCTCACCACCCACGACAACGTAGTACAGACGGTGAGTAATGGTGTATTACTAGTTATAGCAGGGATACGCGCACGGCTGAGTAATCGGTTAGTCGAGCTAATTACAATAGTTTGGGTCATAATCATCGGGTTTAAACACGAAAAAAACCTGCAACAGTCTGATCGATCTATGATACACGCCCACTGGCTTAGAGGGTAACCCCTGAGTTCCGGTATCACATATTCTCGAATCCAAAGTGTTGCCTTGGTAGTATGTAGGATTTTACTAATGAAAGGATAATTTCACGGAAGCAAACTGTAAAATAAACGTAAGGCGTCTTTAATGTGGACGATTTGATTAGGAAGTACGGGCAGGTGGCAGTCTTACGAAATAAATCAATTAGATACTAGGTACAGTCATCCTTCCATAATTAATATCCGGCTTCTGGGTCCATCCCTTATAGTATCACTGCAAATGTACTTATGATTAAGTTATGGCCGTCCATACAGATAAATCAAACTTCTGTCATGTAGTTTTAATTTTTTGGCCACCTCCTTGGGAATCTATGAACCAAACACGTGTTAGGGTCAGGTCCACGCAGGTCTACAGTACATTGTACGTATACATGAAGAACAGAATATCTTGGTACATAGATAATACGGATATCTAAAACAATTAACCCCCAATACGAATTTCATTGAAATCCAGAAAAGGTTAAAGGTGGGTTTGACACTATCTCACAGCACCGTTTAAAGCTAAATGTGTGTGGATCACGGATCCTCGCGAGATCTTTGTCTGTCAGGTTTGGTAGTGGAACGGAATGTAGGGGTATTGGGTATAGACAGTACCTAGGGGAGATAGGGAACGCTGGGGGACCGTGCACACAATGTCCTGGTATTGGTATTGTCCCGATGTCTGGCCTTAGAGTCCTAAGCAATAGGGAACTGTTCTCCTCATAGTCAGAGACAGCTGAGAATAACAGAAATGACAAGAAAGATTTTAGAATTGTCAACGAAATTCCAAAGAGGTTGAACTAGGGGATTGCCAGGGAAAATCCGTGAAGAACTGTGGCAGATATTCCACAGCGAGTCATTAAATTTCATAAATTGATTTCCGAGAAGGAAAATGTGAATATCTTAAAAAAATATATAAATATGGCTTGTGGTCTTACAAATACGGAATAACGCTTACTAATCCTTAACAGAAAGTTTTAAATAGAATAGCCTTACTATCAAAGTAGAATTACTCCTATCCAGTATACACTATTAATGTACATTTTGAAAATGTTATGAATTTTGAATATTTTTGTTGTAACTCTTCAAACTTTCCCAGATAACAATAGAAATAGCCTACAAACTAATTGTCAGCAAATACTTAAACATTACAGATTAAATTCCATCCGATTACCTAGGGTCGAGTACTGAAATACACAGCGAGAAGGCTGGCCGGAATACCTTTGCTGTCGATGTGTCGCATTAAAATGGAGTTTGTTGACTCTGTGGATATCGTCTTGTTGTTATCGACATTGTTTAGTAAGTTTAACTTGCACTGATAAAATATATCAGTGAACAAAATGGTTTAGCACTATCACGTTAATAGGCCGTCAGGGAGGGCGAGAGAGAGTGAGACCATCGTGGGCCGTTTACACAGATAAACTGTCCAACGCTGAAGGCATTTGTATTGAGTGCCTACCCCCGAGTACACCACTCTCCACTAACTCGTGTCTGGTTCTGTCATTGCCCCATCTAACGTGCTCTTTAATCCATCCAGCAGGCTTCCTGTTAATAGTGCCAGCTTTGGAGAATGTACGGTTATTGTAGATTGCATGAGAATTGGGGAGAGAGTAAATCTGTACGTGCTCACCCACGATATTGGCACAGCACGTGTGGGGCAGGTACAGGAGGGCGCGAGTAATGAACAAAATAATTACAAAGAGAAAGACACAACTCACAACCAAAGTGGAGTAACTAACTTAACATGTTAACTATTTAGCTGAAGCTATAACTTTGACTAGCATCAAGAACACACTCTACATGCAGAGTCTACTACACAGACCTGAAGGGACGTTACAGTGTAACGGTGTATAAGGGACATTATATAGAGAACATTACGTAAAACAAATAATCCCATAATAATAGATCTTTAGATCCTATTCTAGATGACCACTGAATGGATACATGAAAATAAATCATACCATTATACAGTATTCTTCAGAGCCGTCATCAACCAAAAAACTGATAAACTTGAAACATTCAGACATTGGAAACATGGACCAGAAATATTGTCATTAGACACATGAACCAGCAATATTGTCATTTTTGGTCACATGAACCAGAAATATTGTCATTAGACACATGAACCAGAAATATTGTCATTTTTGGACACATGAACCAGAAATATTGTCATTGGACACATGAACGAGCAATGGTGTCATTAGACACATGGACCAGAAATATTGTCATTAGACACATGAACCAGCAATATTGTCATTAGACACATGAACCAGAAATATTGTCATTGGACACATGAATCTCTTGGTAATTAAATACATGACAAAACCTAGCTTGAGAGACAACATTATTCTGATAGCTAAATGGACATATTTTATTTCTAACTGAATTTCTAGTTGTATAAGTGTTATTTTTGCAGGTTTCACATTTAGTCTAGGTTAGATGTTTTACTGTGAGACTGTTAAAACCTTGATATAATAACCCATCTCTTTGATACCTGTTTGTTTGCGTATTCGATAAAAAGCATATATACTTTAAACAAATGAATTTGAAGTGTCTCGATTTTTAAGCGGTGTTTAAAGAGATTTCGAATGTTCGAATTTAATATTTTATCATAACGACTCTTATGCCAATAAATGGCATTGACAATGAAATTAATGAAACTGGAAGCAAACTGGAATAATGAATGTGACGAGATACTAGTAGTTCGAAGAAGTCGGTGAAACTATTACATACCGATTAGACGCGGACTATGGGTGACAATTGATATTATGAATATAGTTGTAGGAGCGCGTGTGTGTGGTGCTGTAGGTGAGGCAAGGGCAGGCCCGGGGGTTACAGTGACAGCTGGATAGATTATCAATGATTAGACGTCATGTTTTATGTTTCGTCCTAAGATGAAACAGTGCCGTCCTAGAGGCAGATCAGTAAGATAGCCACTTACAATGACCAGACATGTTTAACCAAAAGGTACCTGCCCCGAGCCGGCATGTTAGAGATATCTTCGTGTTTATGATGGGTACGATGTATACCTACATGTATAGGTATTGTTTCCGACAATTTACAAATGTCTCTGACTCGCCGTGTACTGCTGGCTTTACGTTAAACGTCGTTTCTCAGCTCTATTTTTATACATAAATTATGGGGGCCTATTTATTCTCGATGAGAAAATTTTAAAATTAACGTGTACCTTAATTTTTCAGCACTCGATTATTTAAATGCACATAGATGACAGGTTTCCAATGGCTATCTATGTGTTTGTAGATAAGCCGGAGTCACTTAGTAGATTTGGTCATATGTATATTATAAACATCGGCCATTCTCGCTAACGTCTGTAATGTATTCCCCAAGAAATGATATTCAGATGATATTGGGACACCTGCTCGATCGCATTACGGCAAACACGTGTCGAACATACCGCTGTGGACCTTTTCCATTACAATATATTTACACGTTAACACTAGTTAATACACGGCCATCGTACCAGGTAGGGTTATTAAAGGGATTCCTTACTAACACCTGTCACGCCCGGTCGACGCTCCACAGCTAATATGCTTTATGCTGAAATTTTAACGGCTTAATGTTTTCTTTTTATTTATATGAATTTTTCTTTGTATATGCTTGGTACGGCAGAACCCACACCTGTCCGAGGCCAAATATCAGGTGTTCTCGCCAGTTTATATATGTTGATCCGCACAGGTGTAATACCGAATTCGGGTACGTATGCAGGAAAGTATTTTTGGAATTCTCATTATCATACAGTGATTTAAATATTGTTATGAATCAGAATCAATAAGTACACATAAGTATGTCAATATATATCTGTTTCAGACGGATAATTGTAGAACCCTACGGAACATAAAAGGTACTCAAAGAACATAAGGCCCCTACAGCTCATAATATACACCTGCAGGGCAGTGATAGGCCCCTAACGAACGTACGACAGAACAAATAGTGTAAGGCTCAACACAGATTTAGACTCGTAAAGAATTTTGGGACAGAAGATGTATTCTGATGGAAAGTGAACCGGTTCCTACAGAAAAAACCCGTTAAGCTGCATGAAAAAGGACCCTAAAGAACATTACATATTTTTGAAGGGTGGTGATTGGTTCCTAAAAACCATCAGATCCCTTGGGTCAATAGAAATACCAGCATAGCTGTAGTAAATCTGAGAGCCCCGTCTATAATTTGGCTACTTACGGGTTCACAATCCGAACATTCGTCACGCGCGTCCATTTGGAGAGAGGTGAAGGAATACATCCACATGGCTCACATGTCTATCTGTGGGGCAGAGGACAAACCCACAGTAATCCCACACGGGCTGCCTTTCACCAATAAATAAATACAACTTAATTCCTGTCTTAATCATTAATGCTTTGGGAATTGGCTACATGGTGAAAAAATCCCCAACACCACTTAGTAATGACACCGATGAGAGCACGTTGTAGGCTAGTGTATCCAGTCAACACTTCCATTGGTCTGGAGAATAACATGTTGCACGCCGATACGGCTCACAGCCGGTATACCGATTTACTCTGTCCAACATTTCGTTGACTATTATTTTTTTGCATCTGATAAAGGTATACTGTTGGTTCCTGTTTTATAGTCGCCTCTCACACAAAAGTAACAGCCACATATGCCGCATGCTCACATGTCACTTCCACTTATAAATAATTTTCATACTGATGATTTCGATTTCAAAATATTTTGGTTGTGACTTTGAGCGAATTTAACGTAACAAAAAACATTGCCTTCCCTTAGCAGGTTGAAGCACACAGTGTCTGCCTAGCCTATCCGTCGATCCCTATCATAGCTATTTACAATCCACTTGTCAAGTCTTCGAATAACTAGCTTTTTGATTGGGCGGGAGGGAGGTATTTCACCCAGTCACTCATCTTCGCGCATGCTTACTTCCGTCAGTCAACAGTGGAGAGGCCGTCCTAGTGACGTCACGTACTACACTAGTAGCACAAGATCCGATTGATTACGACTATTTTGTCAATGATTGTCGGCTGTTTAAGATTAGCGTGGTAGATGAAACATATTGACTGGAGAATGGGGTTGAGAGTACAACCTACATACAAACACTAGATCAGCCCATACTAGTGTAACGTCACAGAACGGTAAACCAGCGCCTAGCTGTGTATACAATACCGGCAGACACGAACAAACGAATATTTATTATTACCCTCCCCCCTCAATTCAATCAATGATGGAATATTAAAAAAATGTAGAGTACCTACGGTTTCTATTCAAGTGACCTATTCACTTTTAACTTGCATGCTTTTATTACTACATGTATATCATTTTCAGATTGTATTGTCTCAATCAATGACCAAAAATTAATAATATTTCTTTTAATTGGAAATATGGTTATAAATTAATTTTAAAAGTGAAAGATCTACTGAGAGAAGAAATCAAAAAAAATTATCGCTTTAATAAATAAAAACAGACCGCGTATATCTAGAGGTGAAAATGTCAAACGAGTTGAGTAGTCAACAGACTTATTACACGTTACTCAAGATTAAATCTGACAAATGCTGGTCAGTTGCGGTCAGTCTGTGAGGCACCACTATAAGTCATAACTTCAACACGCCCACCGGATTACGACAAGATTAAGACAAGATTAAGATCACCGTTGTCGATAAAGTGAGAAACAAAACATGTACTCGACGTGCATTATACACACCTTAGCTGGTCATGGCTCCGACCATGTGGTGGTCAGTCTAGCAGGGCACTGGGCAGCCGTAGGAGTTCCGTACTTGATTGGAATGAATGCTTTGTAATTAGTGACAGGTAAGTGATTCGTCAGGTGAGAGTAGGAAGGAATGGTAAGGGACAGATGGGTCGGGCGCTATATACTCCACAGCCACCTCCACGCTGTCAGCTAAAGAAACAACCTTACTTTCACTTTGACCGAGCAGTTTGGATATCCTTCTCCACGTGCGCACAACAAGTGTTTTCATAGAATGTAATTGTCGGAGTGTTTACGTTACCCTCCCATTGAAGTGATTGAACAGCAGATGGTTGCCTGATCTTTAACAAACACGCTATGTTGTTATAACATTACTAATACAAACAATCAAAATCAATCGATTAATTAATTATAGGAACGAGTTCCTCATTTTTGTCACAATTGTTTTCCTTCAAAATTTGTGAGAAAGATAGTTTTAGAAAGAAAAAAAAAGATTTTCGTTTTTGTCTTGAATCCTTCTGAATTGACATTTTGTCATTTATTTTATCAAAATATCATACTTCCGTCACTTCGATGACATTCAAAAGAAAAAACCGACAACTGTACAAGAAAAGTTGCACATTAAGAACTTAAGTGTTTTTTGTTCGATCGGTTAAATATACAATTTGTTTTATCCCTGACAGTTAAACAATAGACGGAATCACCTAGAAATCAGGAACTAGAAGTGTGCAGCTTTCTATCATTTAGCCACACAGACATTTAATGTCTGAGATTTCCTTGTTACACGTCTCCGACATATCAATAATAAACTAACAGAGCCACGCCCCTCTTCCCCCTCCTTTTATCAAAATACGATATTTTCTATGAATTTTCCTTTTCTTGATTTTTTTGAAATTATTGATAATAATATTTAAACAAGTTGGGTCCAGTGTGTCCGCTATTAGTTATGTATTTAATTATATGAAATCAACAATGTAAAAGAAACACTTTAATGTTTTTTGTTTTATGAATTTCATATAGGATGTTTTTTTAAATGATTTTTTAAACATTCTCTGATTCTTTTTAAAATTCAAACACTTTAAGTTTAAAAATTATATTTGATCTGCGATGTCTTTGCACTTGCGGCCGGCAGAGGCATCTTTAATGTTAATAGTTTTGAAGAGAAATGCTTTATTTAATTTTAAACTTTAAATGTGGATATACTACAGAAGTAAAACACGTTTTCTGCATTTTTGGATTGACTAACATTTCTAACTTATTATATTGTAGGATATTTGATGATGACTGAGAAACCAATGCCGTGTCTGTATGTTAGAGTATATATGTACTGTATGTCTGGTTGAATACATTCAAACTTTTGAAAAATGAAATAAAACAAAAAACATAGTGTAGGTATTCTAACGTTCTATGGCAAGAATTTGAACTTTGAACGTCCTGTGCTCTGCACGTTCCCACTGCAAGCTATCGTAAGAGGCGACTAACGTGGATCCACCTGTTGAATTTAGATTTTTTTGCTACAAATGTTTTCTCTCTTTCTACTCTTGAAATCTGTTTCTGCGGTATCTCTCCATGTACCCGTGTTCAAAAAATATCCAAACACACTAACAAAAAAAATGAGCAATCTATGGTTGAATTATAACTAGCTATGGTAGGGTTTGAGCGACCACTCGTAGAATGTCTGGCGTATTATATGGTAAGGGGTTTAGGATGTATGGTGTCTAGTGAATATGGTATTGTGTCTATTTTGTATCGTTGGATGTCTGGCGTGTAGGATAGGATATATATCGTGTATGATGCGTAATGTGTATGGTCAGATGTCCAGTGTGTTTGGTCAGATGTCCAGTGTGTATGGTCAGATGTCTAACGTGTATGGAAAGATGGCTTACGTGTATGGTCAGTGGTATCATGTGTTTGGTCAGATGTATAGTGTGTATGGTTAATTTTTAATATGTATGGTCAGATGGCTAACATGTATTTTAAGATGTATAATGTGTATGGTCAGATGTCTAGTGTGTATGGTCAGATGGCTAACGTGTAGGGTCAGATGTAAAATGTGTATGGTCAGATGTCTAGCATGTGTGGTCAAATGTTAAATATGTATGTCAGATGTCCAGTGTGTATGGTCTCTGTAACCGTGAAACACTGAATCAGGATGTCTAGTTTGGTAGTATGGTCAGACCGTATGTTGGACATACAAAGGAGAATAACTCGCCGTCACCTGTTACACCTATCATTCACACGCGCGCTGTTGTGGCCATACAGGGCATGCATGGTAATTAGTGAATTAGTGGTTATCGTGTTTAATGTTTCGAATAAAAATAATTATTTAAAAAAACCAACAACATATGATCCATTTCAATGAAACCTAGGAGGATAAGAATTGTGACTGTAACTCGGCTGTCCAATCCACAATGTACAACGAACGGCGCGGATAGATAACAGCAATCCAACAGTCAGTACAGCTGCATAAATGGGTAGCAGCACATATTCTTTCAAAATTAACTTCGCTAGTTAAGACATAGTAGATAATCTCGAGTTAGATGCCTTATGTTTATAAGAACCTGGTTCCATAATCACACCAGTTTTAATTCCTAAGTTCCCATTGACACCATGTGATGTTGCTGTTGATGAGTATGCATACTACAACAGCGCGGAGCATATTTGTGTAAATCACACACCAGTATCAACATATGTTGACGTTTATCTTGGGGGTCACTTTCCACCTAATAATACTAATCTGTCTGACAAATCCCAGTAAAAGATTCCCAAGTCGCTGATATTAACCTGTTGTACGTTTACAAGTTAATAAACTATTAGTCCCCATCTTATCTCGTATCCGTAGCGCCCTCTGTCGCAATTATCAGCTTTCCAAGATAAGGAAAGAACCTCGTTTTAAGGATCGTCTCACTTGGGGGAAGATATCCAACGTATTTTACGCAGTTGGATTGTAACTATTTCGAAAATAGCTCGACGCAAAGGAAAACATTTTGATGTATTTCTGCTTTAAAAGTAATTGAAATTAGATCGAGTTTCAACTTAATTCTGTGCAGCTGCTTGTGAAATCGACACTACCGGAAGTAATTAGTTGATCAATTAATTTGACTTCCACCGTTTGATGGTTGGGTACTGTCCTGCATTAATTGGCATGGCGGAAGTCATACACTAAATCAGGCAAATGACATCGGCAAAACTGATGCTAGTATATTTAATAAATACTTATTCTCTTACAATATGGGTCTTCTTCAAATCCTCCGTACAGACGTTTTTCAAAATCTGTATTACAATTAACATTGCTATCAGTTTGAGAAACGCATCAGGCTAGCCATTTACACAACTTACGACCTGATATAACGGATAATTGTCCACTGTTGTATATCTTTATATCTTAAGGGTGATAGTGTAAAGCACGGACAGGAGGATTTACATGTAGCTAAGATTGCCCTCTGTATGTACTAGGTCTAACTNCCCCCCCCCCTGTTTTTAATAGATATAAATAAGTTTACACTCTGTATGTCATAGATATAACCAAGTGTTACCTCTGTATGTAATAAATGAAGTAAGTTTTCCCTCTGTATGTCATAGATTTAACCAAGTGTTACCTCTATTTGTCATAGATTTAACCATGTTTTCCCTCTATTTGTCATAGAATTAACCAAGTGTTACCTCTGTATGTAAAATATTTAACCAAGTTTTCCCTTCTGTATGTAATATATTTAACCAAGTTTTCCCTCTGTATGTAAACGATGTAAATAAATTTACCATCTGCATGTATAATAACTGCCCTCCGTCAGTGAAATAGTACGTTTACAAGGAAAGGGCGTTCACAGGCTTTACCTATTGCCCAATATTCCTTTTGTATCTATGAACTGAACAATAAAATGTTCTGATACTAAAACATAGGTAATAGTATGTATGTGCTGTATACCAGACACGTCACGTCGATCGCCTCGAGCTTGTGATTAATATATCAATTAATTGATTTATCCACGATTACAACATGTACATCTACTACATTAATCGAGATACATATATATATATATCCTTATGAACTATTTTTGTCACTCAATAAACAAACCTTTGGGTGGAAATAATTTGAGGTTGACTTT